TGTGAACCTTAGTTGGCACACTGCAGGAAGGCATAAAAATGGGCCAAAAATCAGGTGAAACTGGGTTGAAAGAGAAGTTTTTGATTTATAGAGAACATGCTTGGGTACGTGTGCACACTCTATGCCAAGTTCACAGTGACGCGGGAATGCAGGAATCATTGTCATCATTTCAAAACTAAGAGAGAAATACTTTGAAGAAAATTGTTAAGTGTCACTGGAGAAAAGGGGAGAGAGGGAAAGAAGGAATCAAGAGGGTAAGAAGGAGGGAAGAATAACATGGGGGACATGGGGGGGAAAGTAGACAGTGAGGGAAAAAAGAAGGAAAGACTGCATGTGGATACATGCAGCTGAATGGTCAGTGTATCAAACAAGAGGCACTTAATAATGTATCTCTTTTAATTGAGCATGATCATTGCCATGGATGTACACATGCCTGCTGGTTTAACCATCATATCTGTCTGCTTACTCCGCCCAAAACACTAAGAGTAACAAGAAATTATGTTTTATTTAATTCCATATTTAACATAATAGAACGGGACTGATATTTATATTCTTTTTGTTTGTTTGTTTGCTGTTTTTGGCCGGGGCTGGGTTTGAACCCACCACCTCCGGCATATGGGGCTGGCGCCCTACTCCTTTGAGCCACAGGAACCACCCAACATTTATATTTGTAAAGCAGACCATGAGCAGACAAAGGACCATCAGGCAACCTCCTTCTCATTTCACCAAGGAAGGAAGATGTACCAGGCCAAGTTGTATTTTGGAAAAGAAATATATTTACAGAACTTTGATTTTCAAAGAAATTTAGAGAAAACTTTTAGCAGAATATATTTAAATTGTGACTTTGTTATTTGAATTATTTTTGCAATTCTTTTGGATAGTTATGATTCTATCTTTTGATAAAATACTAGTTATGCTAGTAAAAATAATTTAATAGTTCCATGCTGTTCAGCAGAACCTTATTTTACATTTCTTTTTTTTTTTTTCATTTTTGTATAAGAATTTTTCACCCTCTATCTAATAGCAGAAATTTTGGATAGTCAGATTGTATAATGCATTTTACTTTTCACTAAATCAGTTGTTAATTTAGTATCTTCTTTTTAATGGTGAAAACTCATCGTTTTAATCATTATTATGAAATTCAGTGAATGAGTAGTACTTTAAAAACAATGCAAAGCCAATACCGTCTGCACCTACCTTCTGTTTCCAAATTATTAAAAAAGGAAAACGCTTCACCTTGGTTGGTAGCTTACTGAAATATAGCATCACTTGAAGTTATTTTTTGTGAGTTGTTAACAGGAAATTACAAATGCAGTAATAAAATTTTTAGGTCACCAAGATTTATGTTTTATTTAACTGCTGAAGTGTTGCTTTTAGAGGAAAGGAATGAGGACTTGTTCTCATTTACAATATGACATTTACATTAAGCAGTAAATGCTCCAGTGGTGCATAAATTTATGTGTCATATGATCCAGGACGTGTATAACAATTCGTAAACATTTTCCTATTGCCAAGGATATGGTACTTCACTTTTATCAAATAACACAGATCCATCTTCATATTCAACCAGTGCCTGTAACTTAATTTTTAAAATAGGTTTAACAGTACTAGTGATGTGGCAAGCATGTTTTAGTAATGGCATATTTTGAATCTCTGAATGTTTATGCTTTATAAATGAATTAATATGGAATAATTTTCAATTTTATTCTGATTCTGGTTCAAATTATTGTTCAAGTTATTTATATGAATGAGATAACATTTCTTAGGTTATAATGTAATTTTTGGAGTAGTCCACTAAAGATCATGGCTATGTTTTTATATAATTATTAAGTAGTTGATTAAATGAATTGCAGGGAGACCATAGGATTCAATTAATCATATATTTAAAAATAACTGACTTTTTGCGTCTTGTAGGTCAAACATTTGGATCACTAAATGCGTATTTTTACTCATTTCAACAAAAGCTAAACATACATAAAGATAAAGGCAGAGAAACTCCCTCTGTGTTATTTGTTTTGTGCCATTAAACATAGGAGAAAGAATGAGTGCTGATGTTCTTTGATGAAATCGTAATTGTTCAAATGTTGTGGACATTTAAAATGAGGGGAATCCTTTATATGACAGATATCTTCAAATATTCCAAGGGGATCTTTAGTTTTCAAAGGGTGAAAATATAGGGCAACCTACATTTTAAATAGAATACTATATGAATACACTTACATCTTGAGATAATCCCAACTTTTTGTAATAAATATACACTATTATATGTTATATAACTATTTTAATACCTATTTATTGTATATTCTATTTAAATATATTTATAATATGTAATATCTACATTTAATTTTAATTTTTATTTATTTATTTTTGAGACAGAGTCTCACTATGTCACCCTTGGTAGAGTGCTGTGGCGTCGTAGCTCACAGCAACCTCCAACTCTTGGGCTTAAGTGTTTCTCTTGCCTCAACCTCCCAAGTAACTGGGACTACAGGTGCCCGCCACCCCTACGCAGTTATTTTTGTTGTTGTCATTGCAGTTAATATTGTTTAGCTGGCCCAGGCCGAGTTCAAACCTACCAACCTGGGTTTATGTTGCTGGTGCCCTACCCACTGAGCTAGGGGCACTGCCCTACATTTCATTTTAAAAGGGAACAGTGAGTAATGTGGTCATAGCTATGTTTTCAACTCAGTTCTATAAAGCTTTAAAGTCCTGAATTTCTTGGCAGTAAGGCTGTTATCAATGTACATGTTCAGGCAGCTGACGAACACTTACTAAAGACCCCGTGTACAAGAAGGCACCCTTGGATACTAGAGCAGGAGTTGATTCTCACTTTTAAAAATGTATTCTCTAATAACTTCCAGAGTTTTTCCCATGTTTCCTGGGTTATTTTAGAGTTTAGTACTGGAATTCAAAATAATTGTTAGAGGAAGAACTATTTCCTGGGAATACACGTGTCTGAACAAGAGCTGTGGCCAAATTGTCTTAATTAAGACTTTGTAAGATGGCCAACATCATGACGATTTCTATGAGACTGAGAGACTGACCAGCATTCATGGAATGTTTAATTCCATTAAATAGGAGAATATGTTTATATTAACACCAGAAAATTATAGTATTAGCATCTCAAATCTAAAAACTCCTCCCTTGAGAATTGCATAGATCAAAACATACGGAACTTAAATAAATAGCACTCGAGTCTATTATGAAATCCTGTAATGGTTCTCTGAAATCTTCTCTTACATCATAAGATATAAAACATCTCCTCGAGTAAGATGACCACTTACTACCTGTATAACCTTGTGCGATATTAGTTTGATTCTTGGTTCTCTGAAGTCTCCTCTTACATCATGAGATATAAAACATCTCCTCGAGTAAGATGACCACTTACTACCTGTATAACCTTGTGCGATATTAGGTTTGATTCTTGGTGAGGTAACACGAGTTTCATGGTGGCCAGCACATAGTAAGGGCTGAATAAGTTGTTATGACAAAAGGAAATGCTGTTCCCATTAAAAAGTGATACATGAATACAGAGAAAACAACTTCTGGAGAACTGGAATTTATTTAGTGATTTGCCATTGACTGTGTCTTTTGTGTTAAAATAAAGACATGGAAATACTGTTGATGATAAATACATTTGCTGAGGGAGTTCAGATGAGAATTATATTTTGTTAGCAAAATGCAATCAATGTAAAAATTGATTTAAGACATCCATGGAAGGAAATAAATAAAAGGCAGACAATAGCTGTCTCGGAGTGCTTGGCGTATGATTGATTTACATTTGCATGTGTGCACTTTGTATGTGGTGTTATTCTATAATTCTAAAATCCCAGTTATTCTATAATTCTAAAATAAACATTTTTGTTTTATAATAAATATAATTTTAGAAAGAGATAAGATTGGTGACAAATTTATGGAAAACGATTGAAACATATATACTGTAATTTACTTGTATTCAATGATATAATTAATGTGAGCATCAAATTTTACTATTCCTGAAAATTTGCATTTTAAATTAGGCAACCACATACATTTTCTTTTTAAAGAAGTTTCTAGTTATTGGGTAGTCTAAGACAGTATACTTACCCTTTTAAATTGTGGCTTTATCGGGTCATTCAGATACTTTTGCAAATGGAGGCAGCAGAAATAGTAAAGGAAACCCAAGTCATTATTATATCCTCTTATATTTGTTCTTTATTGTTATGCTTTGGAATTGTGTTATTCCTCACATTTGCTTCTGCAGGTGAAATAAGTCATACTGAAAGTAAAAGTGCAATACTTTTTTTCAAATCAAGAACATTTTAAAAAATTCAGGTTATGTCTGCGTTAAAAATGTCAGTAGTCGAATTACAAATGGTACTGTGATATACATCTTAGGGGAAAGAAAGATAAACATTATGTCTCGTAAAGTCAAGTCAGTTATAATTTAGATTGACATTAGAACACCCAGAAAGAGGCAGAAATCAGCAATTTTCTGACATTAAGTTAAAATACAAATGGAATGTGTATGTATTTCCTCCACAGACATGTGTTGAGATAGTTATTCTCCATTGAATAAAATACATCATGACATCAGGCAACATGACATAACAAAAGATGATCGGCTGCAGGTTCACTCACTGTCAGATCCCCCGTGTCATGGGCCCGGTGGGTAGTAGGGGATGGTTAAATGTGTGTTAACATTAGACTGCAAGCTGAATTAATTGAAATAGAATGAAAATTGAACTATGTAGCTTATTGTTGTTCAAATTATCTTCACTTTGAAATAAGAGAACTCTTTCCGAAAATGAAATACCGAATGCTAACATATTTTTTCAAACCATAGCATGTTGCACATTCCACTGGAGACTTTTGTTAGGCAAATCTGTTTAAATTATTTTGAGGGATAGTCCTGATACAGTTTGAGATTGATGACCCAATTAACATTAACTGTACTTCTCAAAGAGACTTCGTAGGCATTTTTTGATACACCCCTCTTTTTTTGCTTGCTTCCTTTGAAGAGTCCCTGTAACCATTCAGCCAGGTGTTGAGAAGATCCATGGACTGAGCACCTTCCTTCGACACCGTGCTCAGTCGGAACCAGCTTTGGAGATGCTTTCACCCTGTCCATCTTCTGCAGCAGCCGGGCAGAGTGCTGACTCCTTCCCAGCAGTGAGGAACTCTTCAGGCTCCAGAAGTAAGTGGAATGCTTCCAGTTTGATCATTACTGGTGAGTTTACAAACACCTAGGGGAGGTAACTAGAAATCTTGCAAACTAATTAGCACATTACACCCAATATTATTCATCGCTGACTATTTCCTTTTTGTTTTGAGTCATATAATTCTGGAGACATAAAGTCTACCACTTTTTGGGTTGGTCACCTATATGGAATTTTCTGATATATTTTTAAGGATTCTGTATCACTCACATTGTCATAATTTAAATTTACAGGCTTTTGGCCCGGACAGAGAAGAGATTAAAATTATGATGTTTGTGAAAGAGCAAATAAATTTCAGAATAACACAGTAATTTATCAAAGTTGCTTGGCTAATGAGTTGTAAAAATAGAATAAAATTCCTGGTCCTTTATTTTATTTTTAATTATTAGTAGTAGTATTATTACTTTTTGCAGTTTTTGGCCAGGGCCAGGTTTGAACCCACCACCTCCGGCATATGGGGCCAGTGCCTTACTCCATTGAGCCGTAGGCACCGCCCCTATTTTTAATTTTTTAAAAATTGAGCATTCTTTCCATGACTCTGATGGCCTATGTGGATGGAACTGGGCTGCAGTTAGGAAAAAACACTTTTCTGATTGGTTGGTTTGGGGAATGATCATGTTGTTTGTGTCATTCAAGGAGAGTTATATAGCAGCCTATCCATATACATACTGGGAAAATTACAGAAAATGAAAATTATATTTAGGAAAATGAATTGAAATTGGGACATAAAGACTGCAGATGGATAACATAATGAACTATATACCACCCTCAAACAAATACCCAGTCATACAGTTACCACTGGGCTTTCCAACTTCTAAATAAATTAAAAAACTGTATTACTTACAAGATTGTTCATGTGTGTAGATCTGAAGGATAAAGGTAATTTCTTAGAAAAAAAAATTCAGGCTTTCCTGGTTTATGATCTTATTCTTTTGCTATTTTTCTAGTTTATGTGGTTTACATGGTTTAAATCTGAAGTATTTCGGCTCTTTTTCCTTTCCTTTTCTTTTTTCTTTTTTTTTTTTAACTTCTCCAAACTACTCAACATTAGGTGACTCTTGTTATTATTTGGCATGTATTTATAACACAATGTAATCACAGAGAAAAGGGCTATTCTTATAGAGAAAGAATTTGATATATTCTAGGTTGTCTCACCGTCATTGAATACTTAGCAATTGAAATTTTCTTGAAGGAAACAGGTTGGAGATATTTAACCTTAGTTTTATTTTGCAACATATTAAAATGCCAGTATTCCTGCCACATAAATGTTAAAATTATGCTTTAAAGTGTTCATTAAAAGAACATCAAAACTATTGTTAAGAATTTGCTTCTGAAATCATGCTGCTACCACTTAGGAAAGATTAAAATAAACAGCCAGTATGATGTTGGAACTGTGCTCAAAGTTGTGTGAACAAACTACTTTTAAGCCATAAAAAGAGAAGGACAGATCTAGCTTATAATGAAGTTAATGTATTACAACTATTACTGCAGCATAAAATGGTGTCTCAGGGTGCAGAGGATAGACTGCAAATTATTATTTTAGTGTATGTTGTTTAAGGTATGGTTTATTACCTCGTATTCCTTTTGGACATAATTTATTCATTTATGTTAAGAATTGCTTTTATTGCTCAACTCCATGAACTTTTTATTAAATGAGACAGCTTGAGGAAGACATTCTTAATTTTCCATCTTTTACGTTTCTTAAGGCAGTAGAGTGTTGGTCCTTGTTGTGCTCTTGGTTGAAGAATGACCAGACACCCCCAAAGCAAGGCAAGTGTGAAACAGAGTTTATTGAGAAAGAGAAGGGTAGGTTTACAAAGCAAGACCAGGATACAGGTTTACAGGGCAAGACAGATTTGCCATGTACAACAAACATTCCCCTTGTCATGATAAAAGAGGCTCTGGTCCTGGTCTGGGGTTCTGTTTTATACTCTCTGGAGAGCCTTCTTCAGGATTCAGACATTACCTTGGAACAACTTTCGTGGACTGTTCCCTAACAACGTGATAATTAGCTCTAAGTCACTTTCCGATCCTCTTGTGCCTGGGCTGCTCCCCCTCCCCTATTCCTCCTTCTCCCTGGGTAGCAGTTAATTGCACAGAATAGGGTTAAGGTTGCACAGCTCTAAGAAGAGGTAGCCTCTGCCCTTTGTCCCAAGTGGGGCAATTTCTTCAAGTAGCCCCAAAGCAGAGCACCCACTTTCCCCTTTCTCCAAAGGAGAGCCAGAATTCTAA